CACAGCCAGAGAAAAAGAGCTCCGACTAAAGCAAACACTGATCAGCCCCATATGGCGACTCCCCCCTTCAGTGATTCTCCTTGTTAACAGCAGGCGTTCATCACTATATATGGGCTATATGCACGCATAAGCTCCGCATTTGACCTAAGGATGCTCGTCAGTTTCCGGTTGTGGAGATTAAAGCGGTGGAAAACCGAAGAAAACGGGATTATGGCAGAGTCTTCAAAATTTACTGTCCTTCCGTCTTTGAAATGAAACGTACTTACGTTTAGGTGTAATTTTATATATGTTGTTATGTTTATTTAAAGGGATAGTTCACCCAAAAATGAAAATTCTGTCAGTATTTACTCGCCCTCATGTTGTTCCAACCCCGTAAGACCTTCGTTCATCTCCGCAACACAAATTAAGATATTTAAGATATTAAGATCGCTCCTGCATACTAGTCCATAGGCTTCTTAAATGACTTGCTTTTCTCGATAAGTCATTAAAGACATCATTAAAATAGTCCAAGTGACTACAGGGGCTCAATCTTAAGTTTATCAAACGACGAGAACACTTTTTGTGCGCAAAAAACAACAAAAATAACGACTTTATTTCAACTATTGGTTTATTTCTCCCTCTGCGCGAGTCAGGTTACTAGTTTAATAGCGTAAGCTTCTGTTATTGTACGTCACACGCATCACACACATGACCAGCGTCGGCCAATAGTGAGCCTATGTGTGACGTAGCTCTACGCAATCACACTACGTTAACTGACTACAGGCCCATGGAGAAGGAAGTGAATAGTTGAAATAAAGTGGTTATTTTTGTTTGTTTTTTGCGCGCAAAAGTGTTCTCGTCATTTGATAAACCTTAGATTGAGCCCCTGTAGTCACTTGGACTATTTTAACGATGTCTTTAATGACTTTTCGAGGCCAGCAAGAGTCATTCCCTCAAGAAGCCTATGGACTAGTATGCAGGAGCGATCTTAATATCTTATTTAGTGTTGCGAAGATGAATGAAGGTCTTACGGGGTTGGAACAACATGAGGGTGAGTAAATACTGACAGAATTTTCATTTTTGGGTGAATTAACCCTTTAATATAATTTTAAAAAGAAGCATAAACACAACGAGGGGTGTCTGTTTTTGTGACTAACGTTTCTTTAGTATAACCATGGAGTATAAAATTCAATATAATTTCTCGGTATTGCATTGGAAGTTATCGAGCATCCTTACACCTTCACCGGAAATACCGCCGTGCATAGAGCCCATTACTCAATGAATCCTAAATTTGATCATCTCTTTTTTATTTGGGAAAATATTCTGCTTTTGTACAGCAGGTTTTATATTAAGATTGTTTTATTGAATGTGCTTGGCTCACACATTGAATCTCTTTAATCCGTATCTCCAGCCTTTAGAGAAAGGCGTTGGCTGTTTGTGACGCTGAATTGTGCCATAAACCATGGCTAGAGGTGAATGGCAATGGGCCAATCGAACAATAAAAAAGCAACACTAATCAGCAAAGAATCGATGAGAGGAGAACGCCCATGAATTCATCCTCCAAGATGAAGAGGGAGGGAATGGCATAAACTAGACTCGCCGTCAACCAACATCCTCATTAACCTAGATGAGCCATGGAGGAGAAAAATGGCTTGCGAAGGACGACTACTGCATTTTTCATTCCACCTATTCCAGCGGAAACAGCGAAGGCTCTTAAACTCAGACTGCTCTGTACTCATTCAAGCATTCAGATCCAGCACTGACCCAGAAATGAGGAGAATCATAAAAGAAGAGTCACTCGTTCCCTCAGGATGACTTTCATATGGTCACTACAACACAAACTGAACCAGATAACATAGCAAACCATATAAACAGAGAGAAAAATGTCTTTCATAACATTTGGCATGCATGCGTATATATCTCTTTGAGCCACCAAGAAAGTTTCTTACAAACTATAGTGTCTTTAGCACATTCACAGACATTGTGGAGGCTTCAGTTCACTGGATCAGATCCTGTGTGAGCTCTTATAAATAAACATAGAGAAACCGGCTCCCTCCTCCACATGCCAGAACCCACACATCGAGGAATCTGTGAAATATTCACTCCCGCTATTTCTTTCACTTCAACATTATATTCGTTTGTGCTGTGGATTTATGCATTTTCTCACTGGACACTAGAGTTTCTGTTCTTTAAAATGGCTTTGAATATGTCTATAAAGATTTATGAATGATTCCTGATCAGAGCTTCATAAAAAAATATTGACGGTTTAACTTAAAGTAAGTAACCTGGTTGCCTTAAAATTTTAAGTTGATTGAACTGGAAAAAGTGAGTTAATACAATAAAGGAGATTAATTTAACCATCAGAAACTCAAAATTAAATGTTATCTAAACTAAATAAATTAGTTAGTTAGTTAGTTAGTTAGTTATTTGATAGGGACAATGCTCATTAATCAACAACAATACATGTTGTAAACAAGCCAGAGTTAGCTACTCGTGCTAGTTTCCATCTGCTGTCCCTAGCCAGGTCTTAGCAGGCTGCCTAAAATGCAAAAGTCAGTAAAAAATACATTGAATAAGTACAGTAGTAATATGATAAAATATGAACAGGACATATCAGGATCATTTAATTTTTTTTATTTTTATAAATTAATTTTATATATAATAAATATATAATAATAATAATATAAATTTTATAATATATAAAAATATAATATATAAAATATAAAATTAATAAAAAAATATAATAAAAATATAATAAAATATAATATAATATTTAAAAATATATAATACATTTTATTTTTATAAATAAAAGAATTATTTAATTTGATTTGACAAAAGAAAAAATGTTGTGATTACTACACTGTAAAAAAAAATATTGTTGGTTTAACTTAAAAAAGTAAGTAACCTGGTTGTCTTAAATTTTAAGTTGATTGAACTGGAAAAAGTGAGTTAATACAATGAAGGAGAATGATTTAACCATCAGAAACTCAAAATTATATGTTATCTGAACTAAATAAATTATTTAAGTTGATTTGACAAAAGAAAAAATGTTTTGTGATTACTACACTGTAAAAAAAAATTGTTGGTTTAACTTAAAAAAATAAGTAACCTGGGTTGCCTTAAAATTTTAAGTTGCTTAAACTGGAAAAAGTGAGTTAATACAATGAAGGAGATTAATTTAACCATCAGAAACTCAAAATAATAAGTTATCTCAACTAAATAAATTATCATAAAGTTGATTTGACAAAAGAAAATATGTTGTGATAACAAATCTTGAATTTTTTACAGTGCTATGAAATGTGGGCTATTAACTGGATGTTTTGTTTAAGTGATTGTCTCACTCTACAGTCTTATTACACAAACTTTTCCCTTGTTTATTTTATGTATGTTTATTCCATTGCAACATTTAAAGTGCATAACTGTTCAATTTTTTTTTGTTGATTGATACAAACAGATCAAGTATATTGCCTTTGTAACGATGCAGTTGATAAAACTTGACTTGTTTTATAACTACATCGCTAGCAAGGCCATCCGTCTGGAATGCATCAGCCAAATGTAAAAAAAAAAATTCATTTAAATAACTTTTGATAATAGCAGGTGCGCACAGAATACAAAAGAGAATATAATAAGAGGTGATTCTGTTTGAGATTCAGTCGGTCTAGACAGTGATGGGAAGAGAAGAGCTGTTTCCGCCTGAGTAAGTGTGTTTTTCTCTCAGCCCCTGCCGAACACATTACCATGAACACGAAGACGACTGCAGACATCCACTGCAACCTAACAAGGTCTTATTCCTTGCAGTTTCTCAAAAACCTCATTAAAATAGACAAAACCCACCTGTTCCTCTCAGACAGGGCTGGTTTAAAGCCATAAGGAGAAAACGGCACACATCTTTCTTATAACTCGCTTTGCTGCAGCTGCTATTGGAGCGTCTGAAGAAGACCAGGACTCCCAGATAATGGGGTTATACAATAGCCAGTGGCTTCTGCGGGGCAGGGGGGTTTGATGGAGACACTGTAATGATAGATGACCTGCTGTTCCTGGACAATTACCAGTGAAATATGACAAATCAGTCTCCACTGTGGACGAGTCGTGACAAGTTCACCTGACCATGCAGAAGACAGAAATCTGTGAACAAAGGACAATTAGTGAACAAAGGAGTAGTTCACTTTTAAAAGACTTTTGCTGATAATTTACTCACCCCCATGTCATCCAAGATGTCCATGTCTTTCTTTCTTCAGTCGAAAAGAAATTAAGGTTTTTGATGATTTTTCTCCATATAATGGACTTCAATGGGAACCAAATGGTTCACGATCCAAAAGACAGTTTCTGTGTCTGTTCAAAGGGCTTTAAACGACACCAGACGATGAATAACGAAACGAGCGGTCATTTCAAAAATAATTACAAGTTTTATATATGCACAAAAATTGGATTTCGATGGACAGTTTTAACAAGGCTATATTTCACCACAGGAAATTCCTTAAATTGCTTAAATCATTTGTTGTTTGATTTCAAATCAAATTCACTAAACAAGTGGTTGTTTATTCGAGCATCTTGACCAGACTGACACTGGAACACTGGCTCAGCCAATGGCGTGAGTTTGGGGCGGGACTATCAGTTTGTTCGACCAATGATAGAAGCTGGTCCTGAATTCTATTGGTTTAAAATCCATTTGGTGATGCTGGTGGCACATAGCTTTACTTTAAGCTGATTTAAATTAAAAAAGATCATTGATTACATTATTTTGTCCTGTAGTCCAGTAATTAAAAACACTATTGAGAATAAAAAACAAAAAGACAGATACACACATTGCATTAATGAGCATTTGAAGGGAAATGTTCTGCAAAAAAAAAAAAAAAATCTAAATGGTCCTAAAATAGGCCTCACCTTATCATTTGTTTTTGATCTTAGTTTCGGGGCCGACTCACTGTGACCCACGATTTCTATGAGATTCATCTGTAAATATTCAAAGCTTTCCAGAAACAGGCAGGCACGATTGAGACATAACGCGAGTAGGTGAACATTTTCAAAAAAAAAATCAAAGCGTGTCACTTCTAGTGAAACATTTTCATATGTAAATCTACCCACAAAACATCCCCAAAATAGCAGCTTGCTCTGTATCTGACACCTCAAATGCATCTGAAATACAAAAGACCAGCTCTGAGTAAGATCTCATCTGGGCCTGTTCAATGTGCAGCCTGACAGCTAATGCTTTTATGTGGATAGACAATTCCTCAGACACACGAGGGGACGGATGTGTGCGGCTGGCCTTGAATAATGCACGGGGAAACCAGTGTGACTGCTTAGAGAAACATGTTGGAGACTTTAGTCAAGCAAAACACTGTTTGTATTCAGAGTTATCTTCCTGGAAACACAAAAGGCCAGTTCAGAATGAGCACAGGCTACCAAAGAAATGCACGCAACCACACTGGCATTTTAATTGATCAGTTTGCCATCTTTCTAGCAAACGTTTTCCGTTTATTAAAGAGACATTTCGTTTTGGTTATATAAAAACGTTTAGAAACCGTTAACTAGAACGAGCATGGTGTGAGACACATACAGATCGTTACCCACACATCTGCTCTATACAGACTTCAAGAACGATTCACAAGAATCACCTTCATCAAGAGAAAGGTCACGGCACGCAACACACAGCCATTTACAAACATTAGAGAAATGTTACTTTCAATAAATGCAGAAACTCACCGTGCGACAGGAACACCGTGACCACACCGGACGCGTCAGAAGCTTTAAATCAAGTGAACTATCTGCACTTTAGCAGAGCGCTTCCTCATTTTCATGGAAAATCTATAAAGATCTGTGATTTTCAAGCCAAATCTTAAAAAAGTCTAATAATTATTTATAGAGATGCTTTAAATTGGTTAAAACATGTTTGTTAAAATGGTAAATTACTGTAAAATTGCATTTGTCAGAACTTTGACAACTTTGAAAACTTTTGCTTATGTGTGAAACATTTTTTATTCATTTTTTTGCTATGATTTTCATTAATTCATCACATATTTAAATAACTTTTGGCAGTTTTGTGGAGTGCAAATAACCTATTTATTTTTACCAATGAAAAAAAGTAATTAAAACTAAATAAAATAAATGTATCAAAACAATATATTATAAAAGTAAAAGTAAAAAAAAATAAAAAATTTATTTGCGTGCAAAAATAAAAGTAGCATTTTTGTTAAAATTTATGCAATTATAAATGAGTGTTAAATAACTGTAATTCTGTTGTCAAAAGTTGTGGAAACCCTTTATTTCCCACTTATAAATATTTTATTAACAATATCAAATGTGTCAAATTCGTTACAAATTTAAAGAACTTTTGGCACAAATATGAAATGCAAATAACCTAGGTAAAGTCACTAAAAATGATTTTTTTATGTGAAAAAAAAAACTAAATTAAAATAAAGAAAAACAAATTAAATTAAATAAATGTAACATTTACCGTTTAAAAATGAATTTTTTTAAATTTAAATAAATAATAAAAAGATGGATTTTTGTTATAAATCAAACAGTATTTTACATTCTACAGATTGATTTAACGTCACTTTGCGTCTACGCTCAAGCGTGCGTGTGTTAGCCTGTCTGTGGTTCGTGATCGACGCTTTTAGTGCAACTCGCTGTCGACAGCTTCCAGTGTAGACACGGTGTGTGTGGAAAACAGAGCGGAGAGAGAAAGCTAAAGTGGTTGGCAGTGCAAACAAACTGCAAAATTAAAGCAGTCACTAGTTCAGTGTATATATATTTATATATATATATATATATATATTAAGGACAATTATACAAAAAAAGTAATTACATAACTTTCAGTCTACACGACGAGCAACGTGGTCGTGGTCACAGTATTTACACGGGTGAGACAAAAGCATGTGCTTGTGGTCAGGGGTGCCGCTAACAGGGTGAAAGTTAGGACGATGCAGCAGGGGGTGCTCATTATAACGCCCATATAGTGATGGGGACACTATACTGTCAAAGAGCACCGTCCTTCGGGTGAGACGTTAAACCGAGGTCTTGACTCTCTGTGGTCATTAAAAATCCCAGGATGGCCTTCGAAAAAAATTGTAAGAATTTGGCATTGGCCTCTGTCCATCATGGCTTCCCAATCATCCCCATTTATACACTCTAAAAATGCAGGGTTGTATTTTTAAATTAGATTTTCAACCAAACAGTTGGGTTTGTTCATATTTGACCCAAATTTGGGTTAAAACAATCCATTTTTTAGAGTGTAATGATTGGCTTAATTACTCTGGTGTGTGGTGGGTGTTCTGGCACAAAATGGCTGCCGTTGGATCATCAGGTGGTGCGTCACATTGGTGGTGTTTGCTTTGAGTGCCCAGAAAGGCGCTATATAAATTTAACAAATTATTATTATTATTAGGGCTGCACGATTAATCGAAATTAAACCGCACGCGATTTGGCAAAGGCTGCGATTATTTAATGCGCATATTGTCAGTGCAGTGCGACTGTCATCAGTAGTAAATGCTCAGTAGTAAAAGCCAGAGGGTTTCTCACACACACACCCCGCCGCAGAAGTACAATAACACACATTATTCCAGGAAACCCCTATCGCGCATCATCGCTGTCACTGATTGAAACGCTTTGATTGATTGAACATGAATAAGGCAGTCGTGTGTTTATTATTCATGTGTAAGAAGCTCATCATCTCACAGGAAGATGCTCAACTGTCGTTATGAAGTGATTTTGGAGTAAAATGTTGTCTTTTGTTGGACAAGAGGTTCATAAATGCTTTTCACGTTTGGAAAGATGTTTGACGCGTGTTGCTTTTTCAAACGCACGTTATAGACCAACGCCACTTTTGCGTCATCGTAGGGTAACGCCCCCTTTTGGGGGAAAACACCTCTATACTGTCTATGGGAAAACAAACGGATTCCCATGAGAACAGAACTCGCACTAGATCTGCAAAGTTTCTTGATAGCAAAAATGGCACAAACTTAAAGAAGCTAACGTTACTGAATACGGGGTTACAGAGGTGTCCCTTTGAAATGGTCGAAAACTGGATTAATGACCCCACACAGCGGCCAAATATGGACTATTCAGACATACGTTACCACTATCCCAAGTAAGTAGCCTTTTTATTTATTTATTTATTTATTTATTTATTTATCATTTACACACTCACAGTAGCCTATGACAAACTACTAGACGATGAGGCCATGTCACTTGGATCATATTTAACTTGATTTAAGCTATTGACAGTTTTGTTGTCGACTAGCTATTAGAAAGACTAAGCTGTTAGCAGCTAACGTTACCTTATTAGACTATGTCAATAGCTTAAATCAAGTTAAATATGATCCATTCATCGTCTAGTTTGTCATAATGTGAGTGTTAATGAAAAAAATGCTACGTGCTTACTTGGTGATTAACGTTAGATGTCTGAATAGTCCATATTTGGCCGCTGTGTGGGGTCATTAATCCAGTTTTCGACCATTTCAAAGGGACACCTCTGTAACCCCGTATTCAGTAACGTTAGCTTCTTTAAGTTTGTGCCATTTTTGCTATCAAGAAACTTTGCAGATCTAGTGCGAGTTCTGTTCTCATGGGAATCCGTTTGTTTTCCCATAGACAGTATAGAGGTGTTTTCCCCCAAAAGGGGGCGTTACCCTTCGATGACGCAAAAGTGGCGTTGGTCTATAAAAGACTCAAACTCGCAGTGCTTTCAGACGGAGCCGTGCTTCACTGACAAGCTGCACATAACTAATAATGATTTCAAAATCGCGATAAACCAAATCGGTTTCATGTTGACTGCGATTATCGTGCAGCCCTAAACTTGCTAGTGGCACCCCTGCTTGTGTTGAACAAGGTGTTGGACTCAACAGTGGGATCCAGTGGCGGTGTAGTTGGACATCTCTCGGCGGATCGTGCTGAACGGCGACAGCTCCAGTTCAGTCGTGCACTCGTGCTCGTTGTCGTCGCTCGCGGTGGCCGAGGAGTGTGTCGAGATCCCACAGCAGAAACAGCAACACTCGAGGAACGCCCGTCCGAAGGGTCGGCACAAGCAGAGCAACAGAACCGGCGTCACGGCGGCCCGTAAGAACAGCAGCAACTGACTGATCAAGTGCAACAGAGCCATGGTGCTCTGCGGGACCCCGGCCGCCATGTACGCCGAAACCATGTTGCACACGTTCTCCGGCACCACACACGCCCCGTACACGATGGCTAGCGCCACGACGGTGCAGTTCATTTGGCTTTCCAATCGGATTTGCTTCTTGTTGCCTCTTGCGCAGCCGCGCTCGGCACGTCGGATCCGCCGGGCCGTCGCAACCGAACTCCCGATGGTGAAGAGCGTCGGCAGGCAGAAGTAGCAGCCGAAACACCACCACAAACGCGCGCCTTCGTACGTCAAGCCGAGCACGTATAGCGTATCGGGCAGGGAGGTGGAGATACGGATTAGGCAGCGTTCTGATTCTAACGCGCCGTCGCCGTTTTCCGACACCAGCTGGCGAATCAGGAGCTCGGGGAGGGCGAGGAGTAACGCGCCGATCCAGATGACGGCTAGTTTGGCAGCGGTGGAGGTGCAGTTCTCGATCATCTCGTAGTACATCTGGACGTTGGTCGCGGCGCGGAAGCGGTCGATGCACAGAGCGCAGAGCGTGAAGGTGGTCACGCCGAGAGACGCCACCTGGGGAAATACAAGAACACACACACGTTTGCTCATTAAATATGACAAATTAGCCTGATTCATTCAAATGTATTAATTAAACGATGTTTTGAAGATGTGGGGCACCATTGAATCCATAATAGGAAAAGAAAGACTATGTTCTGTTCAAGTGTTCAACAGATGAGGGTAAATAAATGATGACGGAATTAACATTTTGGGGTGAACAATCCATTTAATATATTTAAATGAATTCAAAAGTCAATTTTTTTTAAATTCTTAATACCTTATTAAAATTTAATTTAACTCACCGTTATATTTACACCGTTTAAATTTAATTACGCTCTAAAAAATCTAAAGTTGTTTCAACCCAAATTTGGGTTAAATATGGACAAACCCAAATGTTGGGTTAAAAATGCAATAAAAAATATACAGTTAAAAAGTGAAAGTTGAAGTTGGGTTAAAATTTTAAATGACATTTTTAACCCAATGTTTGAGTTTGCCCATATTTGACTCAAAATTGGGTTAAAACAACCCAACATTTTTTAGAGTGTACTATTAACATGGTTTCAATTTAATTAATATGCGATAAAATGGGATGGGAAAATTGATAACATTTATTTTCATTTTTTTAAAGGAATGTATTCATTCATTTTTGATTTCCAGGAATGCCATCGAGATCCATTACATTTCAACTGTTATCCCGTCAGCCCTCACTCTAAAAAATGCTGGGTTGTTTTAACCCAATTTTGGGTCAAATATGGACAAACTCAAACATTGGGTTAAAATTTTAATTTTAAAAAATGTAATCCAATGGCTGGGTTTGTCCATTTTTGACCCAAAATTGTGTTAAAACAACCCAGCATTTTTTAGAGTGCTGTTTGTGTGATGCTACATTATATGTCAATAGGTGTGTAAGGCCAGCGGCGTAAACAAACTGCATGAAAAAGAAGTCTGAATATCGTCTGGCAACTCTCTGAACTCAGTCCTACAGCTGGAAACTGTCTCCCTATTAATCGTTCAGCATATCTAAACCAACAGCCCTCACATTTCCAGACTTCTGCTGTGTTATCGTGACAGACGAGCCCAGCCGTTCATTCACACGGCACAGAGAAGGGTCCCAAACCCTCTGAACACACACTTCCCACTGTCAAACGCGACATACGTCGTGAATATTGCCACAATAAATTGGATGATGTGAAAGAGTATTTACCGAGGCAACACAAAAGAAACCACACAACAGCAATGACTGGAGAGATTCTTGGCCCCGTTCTCGCAGCTCATCCCAGCGGATCATACAAACACAAGTGAAAGAGGCAACCAAGTGTTTGTCTTCATTATCATAATTACAGAGCAATCAGGCACATCAGCATCAAGGAGGAGACAATTAGCGGAACGCGTTTGCGATGAAAACCAGACCGCCTTTATCATCTCCAAAAGCACACTGGTTAGACGCTTCATCACTCGGATAAAAGCAGTGCTCAGAATCCATTATGGAGCAGTGTGTGTCCGTTAAGATGCTGTAATGCTGCATTACTTCCATAGGTGTGAAACACATCCATCTGAAACCATCTTCTGTTTAAGGATGAGCTTATTCTCAACAGCAGGTCAGAAAGTGATGCTCCCTGACTGAAAGAAACAACAAAACAAGAATAATAATAATAAAAAAACCCTCCTTTTCCTTTAGAGGGTTACAGATTTTTATTTTTTTTCCTCCAAATCACTTTTCGGGTTGCAGATATAATATTTTATTTATTTATAAATTAATTCATATATATATATATATATATATATATATATATGCAGATATTATATTTGATTTATTTATAAATTAATTCATATATATATATATATATATGAATACATTTATAAATAAATAAAATATAATATCTGCATATATATATATATATATATACTGTATATATTTCCTTTCCTACAGAGGGTTGTAGATATTTTATTTTATTCAATTAATTAATTTCTGTATTTTATTTTCTCAAATCGCTTTTCCTTTGAAGGTTTGCATATATTTTATTATATTTATTTTATTATTTTATTCTATCCCTCCAAATCGCTTATCCTTTGAAGGTTTTCATATATTTTATTATATTTAATTTATTATTTTATTTTATACACCTGTTAATTATCCAATCCGCTTGTCCTATGTAGGTTTGTAGCTAATTTAATTTAATTGTTTAAAGTAAACTGTTTCATCTGCCCATAAAGCTTCCCATCAAACTCTTGTTATGTCGCAAAACTTGAAAGTGCATTAAGAAGAGCAATGGCTCCGTTTGATTAATTTCCTCATGATTCGACACATATGTGACTTGACCTGAAGTAAATCACACACACACACCTCAGTCCGGATCTCGACCCTGACCTGACATTCGCAGGCGTCTCTGAGCGGACAGGTTTCAGCAGCGGGAGATGATGGTGTTGGCTGAGATGGGCTTCACTAACGCCTCATTAATTCTCTGATTAAGAAGCTTTCTAGAAGGATGGAGGTGCTGGTTATTAATCTGGTTTAACGGCTACTTTCAGCCTGGAGGCCGTCTCTGGGCCACTGCCAGCAGCGAGGACAATAATTCTCACGTATTGACAAATGAGACAGCACTGAAGCATGAGCGAGCTCGAAACAAAAGCTATTACAGTAATAGTGTTATATATATTATATTCAGCCACATAAATTCAGGCCATTAGAACGGGAGTCAACGGCCTGGATCAAAAACAAACACAGAGTGGGTTACTAATAAAATTAAAAGCCAACTAAAACCAGCCAAACAAAAAAATAAACTGAAATAAAATATAATTACCTACAAACCTACATAGGACAAGAGGTTTGGAGAATAAACAGATGCATATTTAAAATAAAATACCAGCGGAAAAGCAATTTGGACAAATAGAATAGAAAAAATAATGAAATAAAAATCTGCAACCCTTCATACTGTAGGAAAAGCGATTTGGAGGTAATAAAATGCAAAAATAAATAAATTAAATAATTGATTAAAATAAAATATCTAGGATAAAATAAATAAATTAATAAATTAATAAAATAAAACACCCACAACCCTTCAGTTGAGATCCATACAACCCTCCAGTCATAAGAAAAAATGGTTTGGAGAATTGAAAAAATAAAGTGGTACAATAAAATAAAATATCTCCAAAATAAATTCTGGAGAAAGTGTAAGTGCTGTTTGCTTGTATAAAATTCATCATCATGCAAGTGTTGAGCTGAACCGTCAGACTCGCTCATGTTTGCTCAAACGAGACGAGGATCCTGCAAATGTTGTGACTGATGCAATCTCCAAAAAGCTAAAGGCCAGTCAAAACACAAGTCAAGTTAAAACACTGCACCGACACGCATTCCCTCGACCTTTCCTAGGAAGAAATGTCAGACCTCAGATAAAACAAGCTCAATGATCACACACACTTCTTGAACTCCACAATATCCGCCTGAACACACCAGCAGGAGGCGACCAGAAAGCGTTCGCTTGAGGATGCAGACCTCAGAAAACAAACACCATATGTTTGCAGGAATTGAGGAAACATGCCGAGTTCACATCAGCGGCGCAACTTTGTTATTAAAAGTGGGTGGGACAGGTGTGTGTGTGTTGCTAACGGCAATAATAAATGCATAGATTCAATTATTTAAAGTGTGTATTCCGGTCCAGTGGCCGAACTTTTGCCTGGTGTGTCAGGGTTTGCACTCGTATAGGGAGTTTCTTGTCATCGAAACCGATTATGTTTATCAGTTGTATATCAGGCAGGGACACGTTTGTGTGTATTTTGTTTTGTAATTTCACCGGAGAGTCGCACCGAGAGAACTACAGCCGACTGTCAGCTAGAATGTGCGTTCTGCGCCTGCGTGTAATGAGCTAACCGTCTATTTCTGCAGGTATATTAGTCTATATTCATCATTCAGAAAGGAAAACCGACGCTGCCGGCTGCAGATTCACATAACGTAAACAAAGCAGTGCGGGCTTACCGTTTTGAATATCAATCCTGCTAAACGCTTTCTTTATTCCACTCCGCTCACGTTAATATTGAAATATTCGCCAAGGAACACTCAGGTAAGAAGGCGTAACATAAGAACAGCCTTCTATCTTTGCCGTTTTGACTTCTTTGCTTGCTGTTTTGCGTTTATTCTCATGCACTCACTCTTTCACTAAGCTGAACAGCCAATCAGAGTTCTCTCTTTCCCCGACGTCACAACAGCGATTTAACATGTCAAATCGGGCGAAATGACTATTTTCAGCCAACGGCACGGATCTGTGCGTATCACACCGAGGAAACTTAGTTGACCAACGCACAAAAACTGCCAGACGGCCGACCGTCGGCTTGGTGTGTTCTGGGCTTTAGGCCGTGTGTCCACCAAAGCGTTTTCCCACGCCCCTGGCGTATGTTTTCAATTGTTTTCAATGGGAGCGCCGCGTTTTTTAAACGCCATGAGCGTACCGAGGCGCTGAGCATTTTTTTCACGCTGAAGCGTCGAGCGCCCGGCATTTTTACTGATCGCTGGGAGTTGAAAAATGTTAAACTTTGGATAAAACACAGCACTCATCACTGTCACATTTGTGGAGTGGAGGAGGGGCGGGACTAAACCACACCGACCAACTGTCACAACATTCAAACTGCTGCATATATTCTGTATCATAGCAACGAAACGTATCAACGGAAAAAACGCTGCGCTGCCTAAACCCTCTCAAGCGCCCAAAGCACGGCGTCTTCAGCAGAGCGTCTAGCGTTTTGAGCTGGCTAAAAACGCTTTGGTGGACACACGGCCTTACAGACTGCACCTTTAAGCTTGCATACGTGTGTGTGTGTGTGTGTGTGCGTGCTACATTGGTCTGAGTAATGTAGCCGGAGGCGTTTTCTCCCAGTGGAGCACTCGCTCAGAATCTGCTCTTAAGACTGACTTTACTCACCACTTAGGCTGAACGCATTCATACAGTAGCTGCGCTGCACACACACACACACACACACACACACACACACAGGCTTGTTTTCATTCAGCTTCTCCATTGTCAGGCCGAGCTGCCTGTCCTATACAATCACAGCAGGAACGCAGCGTGTGCCACCAGGACAACGCATTCGCACCGCTCTCCCTCCCAAAACACACGAGCGTCTCAACATCCCCCTTACGGCCTTCACATTCACAATGGCAACTCACACAGACTCACTCTCTAAGGCAAACGGATGAGTGAATCTCACAAAAGTGTCTTCAAGGCAAGTAGGTGGCCATCTTGTTTCGCCCCTTAGCAGATGCAGGTACAGCTCCAATCTGCTTGAATGGAGAAAGGCCAAAATCTTTCATACGGGTAACAATATATATACAGTATATATATACGTATATTGGGGGCCAGAAAACACAAACGGGTTTTAAAGTGCGAGTTTTTGTAAACAATACTGTTACCGTCTCTTTGTGAACTACAGAAACAGTGACGTCATGCGCATGTTTCTTTAAAAATACATTATTCTTTAAAGATGACATCACCATCTACTGGCCTGGATTGCATAATATTGCATTTTTAGTTGTTTTCACGAAAAATACAACGGAAAAAACGCTTTATGTTTTAGTACATTGTAAACTGATGCCTCCGTTTATGCCATATTGAGCATTACGATTTCATTTGTTTTCGTTCATGAGTCGTCTAATCTCGTTAAACCAGCAGGAACGTCATATTTTAACCCTAAATTCAAAAGGAAGAAATTACATATTTTTTGTTTTGAGGAACATTAAGATGATTTGAGTTATAGTTCTGTTTTCATGTCATTTTACTTCTTAAATCTGATTATGCATTAAATGAATTTTAATTATAATTTTAATAATTGTATTGGTGTGCAAATTACTGTACTACAAAAAAAAAATCTAAAATCAAATTAAAATCATTAAGAATGATGGGAATACATTTTTTTTCAAACTCAATGAAAAAGAAAAGTGTAAATATATTTGTATAATCTGCAGCCCTAATTATGTGGGGGGATAATATTGCAATGATAAAGGCTTCAATCATTTTACATTAAGCATGCAATTTCTGTCTGTTTTTGGTGTGAATATGATCCGGATATGTCAGTGATTTCCCCCTAAGCAGCGTGAGGTGTGTGTATCGTACAGTGAGCCGAGACTGGGTGTGGTGCTGCAGATCTCAGGTTGTGTTTGCGCCGTACAGTGTGTGTGACAGAGGTCAGTGCAGGTGTCCCGAGGGCAGGGTGGATGACATGACGTCTCTCCACACGACACGGGATTACCCACAGTGTCACAATACCTCAAAAAAAGCAAAGCTGACACTCACAAAGGATCTGTGCATGACCTACAACTGAGTAAACGTGAACAGATTTATGCTGATTGCAAGTCATTTGAATGAGTGCATCTTGAAAATACGATTCAAATAAAATCAAATATATGCAAATAGGTGCTGATAAACTATACCATGGTTTTTCGAGGACAGACCTGCTTCGTTTATGTATTCCTGAGAAATATGCATCACATTAAGTTTACTAGTTTGTTTATCATCCAAATGGATGGAAATATTATATGCAATTCAAATGGATAAATCTTACATTCAGGCCTATTTTATATATATATATATATATATATATATATATATATATATATACATATATTAGGGCCGTCAAACGATTAATCGCATCCAAATTAAAAGTTTGTGTTTACATAATATATATGGGTGCACTGTGTATAATTATTTATATATATATATATATATATATATATATATATATAAATACACACACATGCTTGTATATATTTAATAAATATTTTTTCATGTATATATAATATATATATATTATATATAAATATTTTATAGATAAATAATATTTTTTTCCTAAATATACATGCATGCGTGTGTATTTGTTTATATATATATATATATATATATATATATATATAGTGCAGCCACATATATTATGTAAACACAAACTTTTATTTTGGATGCGATTAATCGTTTGACAGCCCTAATGTGTACATATATATCCTCCTGTATCCCACAAGAGCAAGGGCAATTAAATGAAAAAATTTGGGTTAAAAGTGGGAAAATGTAAAAGGTTTACTATGAGCTAAGTGTTGACGCTTGCCTTAGCTTGTACCTTTGCCACATTATGCACACAAACTATGAACAAACACAATGCATTACCTCAATATATGGTATGACTTTACAGGTGAACTGGCCCAACAGCCAGGTCTTTGTGAGTTGGTGAAACACCACGAGCGGCAGGCAAAACAACAGCAGTGCAAAGTCCCAGATGGCCAGGTTCGCCAGAAGAGCGTTGGAGATACTCCTCATGTAGTAGTTATGGCACACGACACACATTATTGCTACATTCCCCGTTACTCCAACTGCAAAAATGAGGAGCGAAACGATGGTGATGGCATATGCCCCATACGTCTCGCTGGTGACGGGGTAGAAAGGATTGGGGAAGAATTCGCTCTCCTCGTCCTCGGCGTACGGAGGGGTCATTGGCGTGGCGTCCCATGGGTCGTCGATCTGTTTGGTGTGGAATTCGGTATATCTGGTGAGATCGAAGGGGAAATCTGTGGAGGTGAGGGCTTGAGGCTTGGGCATGGGTTCCCACAGGGCTAAAGAGGACGTCAGGGCGTTATAATAACTTTCCACTGGTGTCAAAGAGGCCGTGCTTTTATTCGGGCCCCTCTTAAACGCTTTCTTGTGGTGTTCCTTTGTGCCTCTTTTGCGTCTGTGGTTTCTCTCGCGGTCTCCTCTCTTGCTCATTGAATATGGCTTAGAGTTATTGTGTCCATCTGCTGTTCCCATGGTAGCAGGCATCTCACCATTCAACTTTTTCCTTTTATGTCGCCGCAAGCGCTTATGTAGGTTTGTGGCACTATCTGTGGCCGACTTGACATTTTTTAGGTGAACTGGTTTACCTGCACTCCAGAGATACGAGGACCAGTTCCTGTTGTCTCCTGAAGTGTGTTTGATGTCAAAGGCAGGTGTACCTGCGGCTCGGTGCCTCGGAGGGTGTGTGCCGCTGGCTTTCGTTTCATGAAGGCTCCTAAGAGTAACCCTGCCTGTTTCTTTGGTACGTGCATTACTGGTTTCTCCGTGCAACAAAACATGTGGACATCCTGCAATGACAAAGATCGTTCTTAAAAGCAGCATCTGCATCTTCAACGAGTCAGTGTGCTGAAGATGTTAGAAAAACGCTCTAATGTGATGCATTGAATGCATTTCCCAGATTCACATGGTCAGAGGAAAAAGTTGACACGTGAATGATCGGGAAAGGCTAATTAGATCCATGCAAATGACTTTTCCGGTTATGTGCGGCAAATGAAAAGCGGCTCTCCCGTCGCGTTCCTCGTATTAGCAAAGTGACAGCGAGGCGTTATTCCCGTCAAATGACATTATTTCAGCTTCTGAGGCGCACTGCATCCCAGCCAGCTGCAGGAATCGGTCGCATCCCGGGATCTGTTGGGCGCGGCAACCTGGAGTCTGCCGTGCGCGGAGAAGCGGAGTCCCGGGGACGCGCTCCGTGGCGCGAGCGTGCGGAGAGTTGCTTCACTGCGAGCGAGAAGCTGATGAGGAAAATGGACGGGCTCTCTCTCTCTCTCCTGGTGGATAACCTTGTTCTGTCAAGCTGGATCCATCAGCATCAGCCCCGTGGACCACCGCAGCTGGAGCGACCCCGCCCCGCGCGCACTAGCCTACACTCATTAACATGCGTATTTACGCATGTCAACAGAATCATAATCCGATCAGTCTAGAATGTAACACGGGCTTACACGAGTTAAATATACAACGTTGTGGCACAGTAACAGAGTGAAAGTGAAACGTCAACATTTTTTCATAAAATAAATAATCGTGATTTATAGTACTAACCTCTCCGTTGTCTTTTTAATATTCAACACGTGCATAGTTGCGATAAATACTTCAATATAAATATCAATATAATATGTTGTTGGTGGTATATAAGCCAAACAAGTCATCGTTTTTTTGTCTACATACAGTGTGCACAAAAGGTAAAGATTATAGCACACATTAAACAGAAAAAAAGTTGTTTTTGTACTTGTATGTGTACTTTCTATAGTAATTACTATAAATCATGCATAATTACAAACAACCCTAAACCAAACCTAACATGTCCCCATAGTAAGTACATGATTTTAATTAAAGGGAAAGTTCACACAAAAATGAAAATTACCCCATGATTTACTCGCCTTCAAGCCATCCTAGGTGTATATGACAATCTTCTTTATGATGAATAGAATTAAATAAAAATACGCCTTGGCTCTTCCAAGCTTTATAAGTACACCCATCCTTCATAATGTAATCCACACTGCTTCGGGGGGTTAACAAAGGCCTTCTGAAGCAAAACAATGCGTTTTTGTGAGAAAAATATCCACATTAAAAACGTATGAAGTCATAAACACCTAAGGCTTGAGGGCGAGTAAATCATCACAATGTTTGGGTGAACTAACCCTTTAATATACTCAGTACTTAAATGTATAATTGTACTGCATCAAGGACATAAGGAGTAGTTCACTTTAAAAAAAAACTTTTGTTGATAATTTACTCACCCCCATGTCATCCAAGATGTCCATGTCTTTCTTTCTTCAGTCGAAAAGAAATTAAGGTTTTTGATGAAAACATTGCAGGATTTTCTCCATATAATGGACTTCAATGGGGTCCAAACGGTTCAAGGTCCAAAAGACAGTTTCAGTGCAGCTTCAAAGGGCTTTATTCCAGATGATGAATAAGGTTTTAAAATAAAGTGCAAGTTGATTTATAAGTAAAATGTATTCATATAAATACAATCAACAACATTTGAATCCATCTTTTGAATATCGAGGCCTTCGGATGTATGTATGTGAACACTGTAACCCACAAGGTGACACTGTGATCTCTTTGTTATATAAGTGCAATGAAATTCATACATCTATGTGAGCGACTGAAGTGAATAAATACTTTTTAGGGTCACAGCATATCAATAGCAAATTACTCTCTCTTCTGAAAGCTCATTGGTATTTCAAACAGGTTTTCTCAGCCTGTGGCAATGTCACAATAACAGAGCGGAAGGGCAAGACCCGACTCGCTTCAGGTTTGTTTCCTACCGGACAGAAATTTGGGCACAGAGGAGCACATTTGCAAACAGCCAAGAGCCTTTCATTGCCCCCAAAACATCATGTGGAAACGCTCCTTATTTAAGCTCAGACATGCTTTAGTTTCTTTGTTCGGCTGGGTCCAAAGTTTCACCTCTAAGTCGTGCTGGTCATTGTGAGTTTGGCAGAAAACTGAAGAGTAAAACAGTGAGAACACAAGCTACTGGAGTTGGCACTAGCAGTGATACTGTTGCCAAGTCGAAACATGGGGTTCATAACGCCAAATAACAGCGAGAGACGCAAGGTCAGAGACTGTACTTGTCAAGAACTGAAAGCTGTCCATATTTGACCCAAACATGGGTTGAAACAACCCAGCATTTTTTAAAGCATAATAAATTAGGCATAATAACAAAGATGCATTTGTATACTCAATTAAATAATAAATTAAAACCATTTTATGTTGTTTTGCCTTCTTCAAAAATCATTTCTTCCCTTAATCACTCGGGCCTATATGTGTCCTGATTTCCAGAAAGACGATAACAAAACAAACGTTCAGATCATATCTTGAATATAAACATGTTTGACCACCTCCAAATAGCAACATTTTTCATATTCTTTTAAGCATGCATTTTTCATCACATTTAGATGAAAACAAAAGCCCAAAATACATTTACATTCAAGATATATCTTCTGAAATAAGCTTCTATGTGTCATGCAATTTTGTTTTTGGATTACCTTTATGAGAAAACAAGACAGAAAGACTGTCATGCTTTTTGTTTGGAGATGATTTAACTATGATAATATGAAGACATGACAGGCTCAAAAGCATCATCTGTGTGCATCACTGTGTTGGTCATTTGATATTGCAGCAATCTAAAGCGCCACCTGGCGGTGTAAAGCAGTACTGCAGAAACATCATTAATGCAGTGTGAGAACTGACAGAAAGAGAAACACAAATTCACCCTAAAACACACTTATAGAGCACAAGATAGGTGTACTGCATGTCTAATACGATGCAAATCTACTTAAACAGAATAACAGTTACTGAAGAGAATGAAGCTGAATCACCTAGAGACGGTGTTTATTTCTGTGATCAATCACCGGCTGTCCACATGAGCGTGAGATGATGAATGACTCGTGTATCTCTGAACAAGCAGCAGAAATACCTCACAGCTATTCACATCACAGAATCTGCATTTATCACTCAGTCAGTCAGTCAATCAATCAATCAATCAATCAATCAGGCAGTCACTCAGTAAGTCAATCGATCAGTCAATCAGCCAATCAGTCAGTCAATCAATCGATCGATCAGTCATTCAGTCAATCAACAAATCAATCGATCAGTCAGTCAGTCAATCAGTCGATCAGACAGTCAGTCAGTCAATCAGTGAGTCAGTCAATCAACAAATCAATCGATCAGTCAATCAATTAGTCGATCGATCGATCAGACAGTCAGTCAATCAATCAATCGATCAGTCAGTCAGTCAATCAATCAATCAATCAATCGATAAGTCAGTCAGTTAGTCAATCAATCGATCGAGCAGTCAGTCATTCGATCAGTCAGTCAGTCAATAAATCGATCGATCGATCAGTCATTCAGTCAGTCAATCAATCAGTCAGTCGATCAGTCAGTCAGCCAGCCAGCCAATTAATCAATAAATCGATCAGTAGATCAGTCAGTCAGTAAGTCAATCAATTAATCAATCAATCAATCAGACGATCAGTCAGTCAATCAATCGATCAGTCAGTCAATATGAGTCGGAGTGCATTTACTCTAAAATGAAGATCTTTGATCATTTACTCTCCCTAATGTCGTTCCAAATCTGTTAGACTTGTTATTTCTTTGAAACACTGAAGTTTAGCATAATTTCTAGGCTTCTGTTTCCATTATTTGAAAAGACTCATCATTTCCGCATCACAGAGAAAGACAGGATAATATCTTAGACATTAAAATGTCACATGACCCTGGGCAGTCGAGGTCTGAGTAAAAGCCATTCAATGGTCCACACAATAGGACAGAAGCGTCGTGTGTGTTAGAGAAGTGGCGTGATGACAGCAGTGCTGAGTGGAGCCAATGCAAGAGGACTGCTCTCGGATTGCTCTGGATGACTCAGACAAACGTCTCAGAGCTTGTTCAGGAGAGGGATTTTTGTTTTATAAATGGTAATCGGTTGCTAATCTGCAAAAAAGAGCAAAACAATATTACAAAACAGTAATGCAATGTTTAAGCACCAATTAAAACAACAATAGCATGTTTTCTATGGCATTGCCAAGCAGGCTACTGTGTTTTTAAGGTTGCTTTGTTATCCTGATCTCTAGAAATGGCTCGTGTTCCTCTTTATTGGAAGTCTAAGGAATGCAACAGGCTATAATTGTGTGTCGGATTAAAGACATCTAATAGCACGCCTGTACATCATGCATTGACCTCTTACTAGTAAACTTATGACATTCAGATGATCTTTGGAAATGCATCTTTATTTAAAAGACTGCATAATATAGATCTCTTCCACCATGTCCTAACCTGACCGACTAAAATCCAACAAACAAATATCAACCAATCAGAACAGCGTGTAGGCGGAGTCTCGCACAACTAAATGGATAATCAAATACATAACTAATACACAACTTTAACATTATTAAAAACACAAACAATCGTTGTCATAGAGCAGACTCGCTCTAAAAAATGCTGGGTTGTTTTATCCCAACTTTGGGTCAAATATGGACAAACCCAAACATTGGGTTAAATATGTAATAAAAAAATTTAACCCAATGGCTGGGTTTGTCCATATTTTGACCCAAAGTTGGGTTATACTGTTATTATATCTGACCCAAAGTTGGGTTAAAACAACCCATAATTTTTAGACAATTAGTTTTATTTAAGGTCTGAGGTGAATCCATTGTCACATACGGCTATAAATGATATTCACACACACACGTTGACACACTCTATAAACTGCTGGGTTGGTTCAGCCCAACTTTGGGGCAAATATGGACAAACTCAGCCATTGAACAGCCATTTTAACCCAACATTTGGGTTGGTCCATATTTGACCCAAAATTGGGTTAAAACAACCCAGCATTTTTAAGAATGTCTTTTACATTAAATAAAGCACACAAACAGTATCAGAGATGATCATTCTCATACATTTTATGTTGTTGCTCCACATTGGACCATATGCGATGCGGCGAATTAGAGTTTTTGATAAATACATCACGTCTGAGGTTTGTGTCACAATGCATCAGAAGGAAATCTGGATCAATATGTGCTGGTGAAACGGTACGTCAGGATCTATCTGTCAGAGGCCAACTCATCATTGTAAAGCTTTCGCTTTCTGACACGCAAACAGCTGTCTGTTTTCCAAGGGCAATTCCTTTCGCATTCGACACACTCCCATATTGACAACTAACAAAAGGAGAGAGAAACACACTTCCCTTTATTCACATACAAAAGCCATTTGGAGCGCAGCCGAGAACTCGGTACCGGATGACAATAGAAGAGCTATTGTTCTTCAATCAACCAGCCTGATTTCTAAAACAAAGGCAAATTCACCTTTTTAACAACCACACCAGCTCCTCGAGCAACCTTAAAGATCAGGCCTCCAATCGGATGGCTCTATCAGTTAGTTAGTTATGAAGTTTAAATTGGTCACCATTCACTTCCAAAGAAAAGAGCAACAGGATATTCTGC